ACATGACTTTATTTGGACATAAGCTTTCGTGGGCAATAACCCACTTCATCATCTGATGAAGTCGGTTTTAGCCCACAAAAGCTTATGCCCAAATAAATTTGTTAGTTTCTAAGATGCCACAAGGACTCCTCATTTTTTTTGCCAAGACTAACATGGCTACCCCTCTGAAACCCGAAAAAATGACTGTCATCCAAAAAGGCCATTTTAATGGTTAGAAAGTAATGAGACACCTTCATGAATTGTTCAAATGGAGGGCTTCTAATGGCACTGAGAACCAGCTAAGAGCCAAAAATCAAACAAACAAACAAAAAAACCCTTTATGCACACCAGAAAGATGTAGAAGAGATGCTGCTCTCCTCAGAAAAATGCTGGATATCTAGGTAAGATTAAATTCACTACCTGTCCATTTCACTAACGATGCTAGACAGACAGCAACTTGACCTTTGAGAGTCTGAACTGTCAGGCCTAACCCGAATCCATTTGAAGAAATTAGAGGATCTGTGGTCCCAATACAGATGTGGGGGTGAAACCCTGGTGCTAGCCCCAATGGTTAAAACTCAACCAGGCCCTTGAATAGGCTGAGTTAGTAGATTTATTTCTGGAAGCGAAAATTGTGAGTATTAGATCGCTGAATAACCTCTTTGGCTTAAGAGGCTCTGGTTCAAGAACCAGGCAGCTGGGCTCAGAGTGTCCGAATTCTGATTGGCCCTTGTAATAGCATATCCCTTCTGAATGGAAATCAGGTGGGAGGTCTTTGTATCATATCAAGGAGATTGGTCAGAATGGGGATACTAGAATTATTAGTGCTGCTTCTCTCCTAATAGTCTGTAGCATTCTGGTATGAAGAGAAAAAGGGAGGTAAGGCATGTAAGAATCCCTTTTGGCTATCTTTGCAACAAGGCATCTCTTGCCTTGGCTCTGTGATCCCACTGGCAAGAGAACAACACTGAAACCTTGTGATTCAGGTGGGAAGCAAAGAGATCTACAGCTGAGATACTAAATATCTTTACCAGGAGATGAGTGTAGGTCCCATTCTGGAGGATCTAAGTTTTGCCAGCTGAGCCAGTCAACCAAAACATTCAATTATTGCCTTGGATGTGAAGGTAACAAGTTGATTGCAGATTCTTCTTTGCCCACCTCTTCAGGAGGTAAGCTTCTCTTTGAAGGACAATAGTCCTTATTCCTTTTGCCTGTTGATGTATGACATGGCTGAGGTGTTGTCTGTCATGGTCAGTCCATTAGGTAAATTTGGATGTGGGAGCAGAGCTTTGAACCCATACTGGATTGCCCTGAGCTCTCACCACTTTATGCTGTGCTTTCTCTCTTGTTTGGACTAGACCCTTGGGCAGTCCTTGAACCCATGAGAATCCCCCTGGGGCGAGACACCTTCACGGAGGTGCAGGTAAGAGACAGCTGGGAGATAAGAGAAAGCTCTGTAGCAACCTCACGTGAGCATTGGACCTCTAAGAATAACCACAGAAGAGATCACTGATCCCAAAAGAGTATGAATTGGTACTTCCCTTGAGAGGTTGACTATTTTGATAAGAGTTCTCTGCTTCTTGTGTCTTTGCTGCAATAAACAACTTTGTAGAGGGCAGTGACTGTTCCCACTCAGAGACTGGAAATACACTGAGACTTAACTGATTTTTTCACAAAACCTTGGCTCTGAAGCATCCTTACTGCTTCGGTGGTACAATCAATGAGGCTTGGATAAAGAAGTCACCCAGGAATGGGTAGACATAGACCCTTTCCTGTCTGAGAGCAGATATTAGCACTACCAGCACTTTTGTAAATACTTGCAATGCTGTTGCTAAACCATTGCTGTATTGGTAATGTGGTGCTCCGAGGATAAAGCTAAGGAAGCATCTGTGAGACTGTCAAATTGGACATAGGCATCCTTCATATCTACGGATGTCATGGAGACCCTCCGTTGACGGCATCTAATGTGGATGTTACGGTCTCTATCTTGAATTTTTCTTTTTTCTTTTTTTTAATGGCTCTGTTGAGATACTTGATGTTGAGAAATGCTCTGTAGCCTTCTGACTTTTTTTTTTTTTTAAATAAAGGCACAACATGGAGTAAGGTCATGGTTCCTCTGAAGAGGATGAACAGATTAAATTATTCCCATTTGTAGCAGATTTCTATGGCTCTCTGCACACCCTGACTCCTCCTCTTCCTCAGGAAGAAGCCTTAGGACATGTATTTTGTTTTATTTTTTAAAAAGCCTGAGAGACAGCACACTTGCAACACTGTCCACCCAGATGACAGTTCTTTTGTTTATTTATTCTTGTTGGCCTGACACCCCCAGATAGTTTTCATGCCCAAAGGATGGGGCTAAGATTATGCCTGCGTGGATTTGACTGCCTATGAAGGGTCTGTATAGTGAGGCGGCCACTCTTTCAGGTAAAACATTTTCCCCAGTTAGAAACATCTAGTCCCTGACCATTAGAAAAAAAAGGCACAATTATCTTTGATAGTGATACCAGAAAGACTTTTGACTGGTGTACACCAAGAAACCTTCTGGAAGATATGGAAACTCACAGAGGGAGTTGAGGACAGCCAAATACTTTCCCAGTCTTTAGGTGTGTTAGGAAAATCCCATCCCCACTATCACACACTCAAAGGATGCATAAGGAGGGATATATAGCTATAGCTTGTCTGAGGCATCGGCAAACCTCATAATTGTAGACCATCATCCTCGGTACACTTTTTAATCAAAGTCTATTCTCTGAGTGGTGTTTTTTATTTTAATAATTTTATTATTTGAGTCATTAGCTATGACTTGGAGTACTGGCCTTCCTCCCATAAGCAGGGAGAATTCCCTTTGTGGGGTGTGTGTATGCATGGCTACAGGAAACAGCGCATGTCCACAGAGTGCACAGACTTGCCATGCTGCCCTCTGTGAGGGTGAAGAGGGGATCCCAACACTGACTATCCCCTGCGATGCGCTCTGTGAGGGTGATCTGGGGAACTAAGTGCCTAGGATTTCTGCATTGCTGTACTCCATGAAAGTGAGCAGAGGAACCAGACACGAAGGATTATCTGTCCTGCTGTATTCTGCAGATTTATGCAGTTTGAGGGAAACGGATTTCATTTTATGCCTCTTAGAGTGCCTCCTAGAGGAATCCTCTAAATCAGACTCTTAGAAAATGAAGGGGTGGGGGTTGTGTGTTTGATGTTGGGGTGACTAGAGGGGTCTGAACATCTTTCTTATGCCTACCCTTAATCCTCATCAGAACAGGAGACACATTTTAGACTGATGGTTTGGATGGGCGTGAACCTTCTGGTTAGCTCTTTTGAGTAGCCTTGAGAAAGAGGGGTTTTGTGCTGGATGGGGTTCCAAAGCTGCTCCATGGTCACCAGACATGGCTGTGAATGTGGGCTCCAGTGATTGGGTGGGAAGCTTCCCTGGCCCTCTGATATTGTGCTTCAACCTACACTCACCCCAAGTTTGGGGGGAGAGGGGAACGGAGGAGGAATTGCCACTTGCTGATGCCAGGGCAAATGCTGTCTCCTGTCACGTGTACCAGGTTCAGGGATTTTTGCAGATGAGCTGCTGCCATTGCTTCCAGGAAGCTCTCCTGCTCGGGGAGGGAGACTGAAGGAAATCCTGCCCCTTCCTGAGCATGTGAGAAGCTTGGATGTTCACAGAACAGGCAACGATCTCCATGCAGGCACCTAATCAGAGGGCTGGTGCAAGGTTTTCTTCTTGGCCTTCTCTGCCATGCTGCACTACAGGTGGGTGCGCAGGGAATACAGAGTCCTCCAGTGACTGAGGAGAAAGGGAATCCTCTCCGTCAATAAAATCCCGACAGCTTGGAGAGTTTAAGCCATTTTTTCCCCTTTTCTTTCTCCCTAAATTTCCTCTGAAGCAGGGACGAGCTGGTCTGCCTGCAGCTGGAAATGCAAATGGAAACTGGCAGTTTCTCAGAGGTGAAGCCACACCTCCACTGCCTCTGATTGACAGGTTTGATCTGCCTCCAAGGCTGCCTAGAGCAGTGGTTCTCAACCTTTCCAGACTACTGTACCCCATTCAGGTGTCTGATTTCAGGCCCGGGCAGCGGGGCTTTGGCTCCAGCATGTATCTTAGTTTTGCGGGGGCCCTGCTTGCCACCCCTGCACTTGCCACCCCCCTAAAACTATCCCCAGGTCGAGAAACTCTAATATAGTATATAGAGCAGTATAAACAAGTCACGTGTCTGTATAAAATTTTAGTTTGTACTGACTTTGCTAGTGCTTTTCAAGTAGCCTACTGTAAAACTAGGAAAATATTTAGATGAGTTGACATGCCCTCTGGAAGACCTCTGTGTACCCTCAGGGGTACATGTAACCAATGTCATGGATCTGTGGACCTCATTACAAAGAAGACAAAACAACTTTCAAGAGAATTGTAACAAAACAGAGTTAGCATCAACCCTGCATCAAATGTTTACAGGAGGAGACTTCAACAGGACTGATTCCAGAGCAATAATGAGACCAACGTCCACCAACACCCTCCTCCACGTGTGGGTAAAAAAGGCTTCAACCATTCCATTATTCCAGCCAGCAGTGAGTACCAGCCACACTGGCCAAATTAAGAGTTCACATGACTCAGGAACAGCCTAACCATCCCCACTCCTGCACACCCATTTCCTTGAGCCACTTTGTGACGTTCCCTGTGGGGAGAGGGGCTGGAAGCTACCATGGTCCGGAGGTGTACTTCTTTCTTCCTCTACCCTGGGGCTGCAGCAGGTGATCAGCACTGTGACTATAAAGCCAGGATCCCAAAGATCTTCCCTTGATTCTCAGCCACTTCTGGATACCAAACCCTTGATTTTAAAGAAGAGGATTATTTCCACAAAGCAGGAATTTAAAAGGAAAAGCATTCTGTCTGATCAGGGAAGAGTTTTACCACTGCTCTCTGGCAACAACCCCCACCCAGATTTGTTTAAAAAAAAAAAAAAAAAAATTCTACCAGTTAATCCTTCAGACAGGCTTACTTCGTAGCTGAAGTCACTTACTTCCAGTGAATGCTATCCAGCGGGCATATTTAGTAGCTTCTCTTCGCCAGTGGGAAGCCACTAGCAAACCACATGTGACAGTCAGTGAAATGATTCCCATAATGATGAAAAATAATGTGGTGACCCACTCAGGAGGCAGCCGTGGAGGAATACAGGTCCTGTCACGTCCATGGATGGTTTGACACTGTCGCACAAGGCCAACTGTGAGTGCACCTGAAAATACAGAGAGGTAAGTCTTAGCAGGATCTACTTTTCCAAAGTAATATTCTGAGATGTCCTCATCTTCCCCATTGAAGGGCTCAGTGTCATGCCAAGACTCAGTCTAGCCAAAGAGGGTGGATGTGGCTCTCCTATGGAGTCTGTAAATGTCATTCAGTGTCAGCTGGAGTGGTGATGGGGGGAGGGGGGAGGGAAGAGAGAGAAGAAGAGGGAGGGTCATTTAGGTCATTGCTCTATCCCTTCCCCGATTTCTAGTGTCAGGGAAGATTCCTCTGGCATTCCTCTAATTTCCTCCCGCTAAGCAGGAACCCCCTGTTAGTCAGCTGGGTCTAGCGCTGCACCCATTTTGCTCAGCACATTATTCAGAAAGGTAACACAAGTAAATTGTTTCTCCACACCTGTAAATACAAATTTAATGCTGTAAGGCACAACGCATGTGTGTGTCTAGATCATAGCTAGAATATGTCTTTTGAAGGATGCACTTGAGAATATCCCTTTCAGAATTCTTTCATGCAAGAGGGCTAGGTCGGTTCTTTTGATAGTTAAACAGGCAAGTTAAATACATACTAGGATTTCTATGTTACCAGATTTAAAGGTCACTTCAATCCATTCAGTACACAGGATGCAAGAGAATGGGTCTAATTATTACAAATATTCTAATGTTGTGCCACAATCTGCAGCCTATAGGAAAAAGAAACGGAGGTAATTAAAAAGTTATAGTTTAGTTCCAGTTTAGTAGAGTAATGGAAGAGTCATTTAACACACAGAATATAGGAAAGACAATAATGCAATGCACAGAGTTTTGTAAGTGGCACAAGATTAGGTACTTTCCATTAAACCCAAATAGTTTTGATTTTAAGTTTAAATTTACTGCTTTCAAGCACGGCTGCTGGAATTAGGGGTGTTGGAGGTGCGGCAGGGTTTCCATCATATTTAGTTTTGTTCAATGGCTTTCAGCACCCCCCACTATGAAAGCAGTGACATTGCAACAACTTTTAAGATGCACAAAAGTTTTTATAATCCAATACTAATTGCAAAACTTAATTTACTGGAAAATTTGAGCCCAGACATAACATGAGATTCAAAGAGACAGTCTGCCAGTGTCTCTAAAATCTTGAATCCTGCATTTTGTGGTACAATCAATTCCACCCCTACTCACAAATCCTTTTCACATGTAAAGATGATTTCCTACAGCCAAATCAAAGATAAACTCAGCAGTGCATGGTATTATCTTACATTAGTTAAAAATAAACATTCCCCCCCCCAGACACACAAATATTAGACACTGTAAACAAAAAGTGTTGCTATACTTAAAAGGACACTTTAAAAATGGAGAGGGAAGGAGGTTGGACAAATACATACAATAGAACTGGGAAATTGAAGTTCTGTGAGCCATTCAGGAGTAGAAAAGATTTCTGTATCCTATTCTTAATGCTTTTGCAAAAGAGAAAATATGCAAACCAAAACACCCAACTCACTGACCGGAACAATGGCTGGTGTTTACACCTACCCTCCAGGATGCTAGGGCCAGAAATAGGCACAAGCTCCTTTTGTGAGTGCACACAGAGTGCCTGCTCATGCTCCCAGCGCTCATGCCCAGCAGAGTCAAAACAAACAGGTCGTTATTTTTGAGTAATAAAACAGTGTACTAAGTCAGATTTTCTCTTTCTGCTGGAACATTTTAAAAACAAGAGCAGAATTAGGAATAAGCAAGTTCTGAATCAACTCTGTTCAACCAATTCTGGAATCTTTGTTCAGGTTGTGGACCCTATTCAAATATGTCCCTTTAGTTACATGTTTTTTTAACAAAAATATTCAGACAGGTTGACTTCTCTCTTGTTACAGACTTAAGACAATCCTGTAAACAGACCTACAACCAAGGAAGTTACAGCAACAAGATTATCCCATATCTTGCAAAAATTAGTAGTTTCTGCTCAAACATATAGAGACCTGTAACTGTAGGATTGATGTAGGTCAGGATTAAGGAGCATACTGGCAGAGTTACACAAGGAAGTTTGCACTGTACCTACATATGTAGGACATGGCTCTAGTCTTTGCAAGAACTTTGGACTCTTCAGTCTTTTGTTGCCGAGAGCCACAGGGGCTAAGATATTTAGTCTCAAAAGTTTAACTGAGGAAGCCGCAGAGACCAGATCCGGCCCCAACAGTGGGTATGGCTTCTTGGACTCCTCAGTCTTTTGCTGCTGAGAGCCACAGGGGCTAAGGGGTGGTCTACACTTGGGGGGGGGAAATCGATCTAAGATACGCAACTTCAGCTATGAGAATAGCGTAGCTCAAGTCGACGTATCTTAGATCGATTTACCTTGGGTCCTCACGGCGCGGGATCGACGGCCGCGGCTCCCCCGTCAACTCTGCTTCTGCCTCTCGCTCTGGTGGCGTTCCGGAGCGACGGGGAGCGCGTTCGGGGATCGATTTATCGCGTCTAGATGAGACGCGATAAATCGATCCCCGATAGATCGATTACTACCTGCCGGTCCGGCGGGTAGTGAATACGTACCCTAATATAGGCCATATAGATCTTGGACTGGATCTGAGCAATCTTCCAGAGGGTCTCACCTTGAGGGCTCCCTTCAGGAGGAGGAGCTGCAGGAGACAGGGCTGGCATTAGCGGGTACCAAGCAGGGCAATTGCCTGGGGCCCCAAGCCACAGGGGGCCCTGCAAAGCTAAGTTACATCACATCTACAGAGTCACTGTGGGTAAATGTAATATGAATATTTCAGTAATTTAATCTCTAAAAGTGGAAATAAATCACACTAAAGCAGAGGTTTTCAAACTGTGGGGCGCCCCCCCACAGAGGGCGCAGAGGAATGCTGGGGAGGGGCATGGCAATGCCAAACAGTTCAGGCTTCAGCCCTGGGCAGTGGGGCTTTGGCTTCAGCAGGGTGGAGGCCCACTCCTTAGTGTCTGCCCTGGGTACCAGTGAGTCTAACACTGGCCCTGGCATGAAAGTCTCTTTATCCTTGTGGGTTCTGGGAGCGAATGCAGAAGATCAAACACCTAGAAGGTGAATGTCCTTCCCCAGGCACTTGAGGTACCGTATGTGGCTGTAATATGCCGGGAAAACACCTGGGCAGGAACTGCATATTTTAACCCCAGGCTCTTCTGCTTTTTCAGTTCTGCCATCACACAGAACTGAAAGAGAATCACCGACTGACTAAACTAACTGCTAACGCCAGGGTGGATAAAAATCAATGATTTTTAAAAATATATATATATATATATATATAAAAATCAGATTTTTTTTGATAAAATGCTTTTTGAGGAAAAAAACTATTTAAAGAGAGTTTTAATTAAGATACATTATAGCGCAAAGATATCTCATAATGGAATAGGGATTATAAATTCTAATTCTATAGTATGAGACAATATATTCATGTAATGTTTAAGAAAAGTTTTGTAAATGAGTTTCAATGGTTCATGGATTAGGGACCTGATCTTATGGAGTTCCAGGGGCTTCTGTATAGATTATTGAGGTTAATCTTTCTATCTACCCAATGGAACTAGTGCTCAGTCTAGAAGATACCATCAGAGATGCTTAGTTTTGCAGTTCTCAAACTGTGGATTTGCGTCTCCAGAGATAACATGCTTGTTAACAGCAAAAATGTTTTTAAATAAATAAATAATATATATATAGAGAGAGAGGTAAGAAATAACAGACCTCAACCCTATTGTCCCTCTGCAAATTTGTGTACACAGTGTCAATCCCTTACCTCTCTCTAAAAGTGCAAAGTTTTAAAAAGTTCAATGAATAGAAGATTGTTGGGGGCGGAATAGATCCGGACAAGGAGAAGAAGTCTGGAGATAAATGTGAGAAGGGAGGGACAGGCAGTAGGAACAAAAGTGGAACGGTTTGAGCAGCATATTCCAGAATTCTAGAGGTCTTTCTAAGTGGTCTTCATTGATTTGAAATCTACCATACCATTCTCTCACTAGAAGGGAAAATCTATAATGGCAGCAGGCCGTAAGAGAGACCCAGTTTGGGAATATTTTAATGAAGTTCCTCTACCAGTGGGTAAGACAGGAATGCGTGCAAAATGAAAACAGCGCAACAAAGAAATTGGTTGCCCTAATGAAACAACATCATGAGAAATGTTCCTTCTCACGAGGAAGCTACGTTGAAGATGATGAAAGGAATGTGTCTGAACATGCAGGATCTTCAGGTTGGTAAACTTTTTTATTTCATACTTCTTTCTTAAGGACTGCCTGCCTGTCTTCCTCCTATTCTTGAATTCTCATGTTTGAGCAAAAAATATAATTATTACTCTATGGTACTATCATTTTAAGTGCAGTTGTGATAAAAAAATAAATAGCTGAAATAGGCAGATCTTCCTTTTACAATTTCACCTTTAAAGTAGTACTCTGTGTCAGTGAATGTAATAAGTAATACTAAATGAGCAGTATGGAATAATAAATAAATAACTGCATTGACTTATTTTGTTTAGGAGAATCCAGCCTCAACATACAGGATTCTGAAGACTATTCACCTTCAAGATCACCATCATTTTCTATAGTTTCAGAGTTATCTGCCAATGATAGCGTTTCAGTCACATCATGTATGTTACATACCCTATTTCCCCGAAAGTAAGACATCCCCCGAAAATAAGACCTACTTCCAGTTTTGCCTCTCGCTGTAATATAAGGCATCCCCCCGAAAATAAGACCTCCCCGATAATAAGGCCACCCCGGAATATAAGGCCCCGAAGCTCCAGGAAAAATAAGACCTCCCCTGAAAATAAGACCTAGCGCATCTTTGGGAGCAAAAATTAATATAAGACACTGTCTTATTTTCGGGGAAACAGAGTAGCAGTATAACGCCTGTAGCAAAAAGGGGGAAAAAAATCTCCATCATCCAGAAACAACCATAGATAAGTTTGTGATAAGAACCAGCAGATTACAAAAAGAGGCAATTGATGAAAAAATTGCCCGGTTTGTTTATGCAACAAACTCCTTTTCCGTATGATTGAGAACTCAC